GTGGGGAGGGGGGGGGGGTGACAGAAAGCAAAATTCCAAAAAAACTCTGAAATTCCAAACCGTCCATGCGAGTGAAGTAACATTCACTAATCTTGATGTTCTATCGTGTCTTCAGTTCCAATCTTCTTCAGCCTAAGCACTACTGGAGATACAACTTTTGATAAATAGTGGATCATTTAAAAGTGCTAAAAACGATTGCATTACATGCTACTCATAATGAGTTTCAGTAAGCGGAACTCACTGTTGAAGGAATGGATCCGTTCGATCGAGGTAATCTAGTCGATCGCAAATGAGGAGCCGAGCAAGAGAACAGAGCCGATTGTGCTGGTTACTCAGATCGCGTAATCGTTGATAAGCTGGTGAATCGACTTCGTTCTCATTGGCCGTTGCCACACAGAAGGCACCCGGGAAACCATCACTGGATACGATGTTGAGACCGTAATGAGAGGCCTCCTGTAATAATAAAAGGAAGCTGAACAACTTCCTGACAATAGCAAACAATTATGAAATACGGTCTTTACTTTCATAGAGAAGAACTAACATATCAGTGACAGCCCTTTCAAATTGCGCATCGACTGGTTTCTCTTTAGTCGACTGCAATCTTGTCTGGTAGAAAAGGTAAGTTTTCACCACTCAAGCCTAACTAAACACCCCCCCCCCCTCCCCTCCTCCACAATTTTCTCATGTTGAACAGCCACAAAATGATACCTAACATTTAAGTTGCAACCAATCATAATAAAGCTCTGACGATCAGTAAATTCTACGAGATATCTCAAGCCGAGACAATTAAAGAAGTGCAGTCATATGACTCGAAGTAGCTTCAATAGATCCGACGAGGAGGTGGTTGTGTGGTGTGAGGGGGTTAAGGCAAACATTTTGACAGACGTTCTGGTTAGAGAGAAGACAAAACATTTTATTTAATTATGTCAAAAAAATAATTCTACGATTGTCAACGCATTCACTACTACAAAGAAAAATGTCATAGACATCATTAAGCATAGAAGTAGAAATGGTGAAATTAACGTGCTTATATGAAGCAAATTTCCCCTGAAATTGAACTCATTGAGACACGAGTTTTCTGACAACTAACCACTATCAAGTGTGCTCGCGATAGACGTGGCGAGCGCGTTTTTGTTGGCAGAGGAAACAATTATGGGTTGTCCAAAGACTAAAACTACCAGAGCATCAGACTCATGAAGCCCAACCCCACACTAATAAAGATGCATTGTTGAGAGGGCATTGGATGGAAATTAGCCATTCCAAGCATCGCAAGTTACGGTTGGAATTTCTCGGAAATCCAGTAGAAGAATGCATGAGGTGGATGAACCCATTTCTAACGCGGTATTGGCAATTAAAACTACGAAATCTATTCAATAATAGTCAAAGGTTCCTCCTTAGACACTTTCTATGGTTAAAGAATTGACATAAGTCATAGACTTGAAGGTTGAAGGTGTTGATTGTATGATGCACTTAAAGGAAGGAGATGGCATTTAGAAGCATACGCACAGAGCACGCGTGTTTTAACGAGAAAAGCTCTGAAATTTCAAGATAGAACACACATTTTCCACGTAAACTTCTTGCTTCCACAAACAAAACTAGGAGCGCTCTCATTGAGTAAAAACAAAGCTCTCTCTTGAATACCGTTAAAGCAGACTAGACACCTCTTTGAAATCAGCCCTCCAAGTCCAAGAGAAATCACAAGGCCCAAAGAAACTATTGGTGAAATGTCTTCACTGTAGCTTCTTGACAAAAGACAGGCACAACAGATCTTCCGAAATTCAAAAGACTCTTCATAAAACAAATAGGCGATCAAAAACTTCAGTTCCAGCCATTCAACCACCCAACTTCCTCATCATTAATTGGGAAACTTTCACCCTGCAAAAGTAACTCACTACAATGTGATAGCTTCATGGGTTAAAGTGATTTTTTTTACCTTGTAAGATAAAGGAATGTTTCACTTCAATTCTTTTATTCATAGACTCAGAAACTTGCTCCTACATTTTCCTTGAAATTGAATCAAATTAGTCAATATTCCACTTCATGGGGTGTGCGATAGACTTACCTCCACGTGGTGCACCCTGGGCAACGTAAATTCATACGGCAAAAAAGTCTATTAACTGGCAGTTGACTTCTGACTTCAAACTACCCTCACCCCATTGTATGTTACATTCGACTACTTTCACAGTACTCAACTCACCTTTTTTCTACCTTCCTCTTTGAAACACTCTTCTGTTCCCCCCCCCCTCTCGATCTTTTTCCCACTTTGATGTTCCTTCCCCTCTGTGAAGCCTGAAGTCAACTAAAGGGCTAATGATAACTATCAGAACGCCTGCCATTTGATATAAATAAATAAATAAATACATTCGATTTCATTTGACGAGTGGTGAAATGTTAAGTTCGATTTCACGATCTACAAGGGGGCATAAGAGCTAGGAGGAAGGAAAACACAAGAACACACACGGGGGAGAGCGGAAAGTTACCCCCAGTTCAATTCCAACTTTACAAACCACAAGGAATAGGCGCTATTTCTTTGATAATGGAGGAAACATGCAGCACTTCAATGCCTTAATAAAAACAGACGAAGCATTCGGAA